CTTGTCTTTCTGCAGTGTCTGAAAAAAACACAACAGTGCAAGAGAGATGGAGCATCTACAGGAAATAAATCTGACCGACCCATGTTCACCTAGCATTCAGATGCACCAGAAACTTTGAATCAGATCTCCTCAGCCCTTTTAAAGGACTTCTTTCACACAACATTCTTTCTGCTCAGCTCAGACTAAAAATTATTTTTTTTTCTTCATCAAAAGCCAAGTGAAAAAATAAAGACATACTTCCTCCCCCTCAGGCCCCCCAAATTTCCACAGTCTTGCTACAATCAAGATAGGCATTGTACATGCTTTAAAAAAAGAACGGGAAGGCACCTAGAATAAGAAACCATGGGACCTTCCAAGAAGTTGTTAAGGAAGACACAATGTGATTCAAATGGCTAATGGATGAATCTTCTCAAATTCATGAAATAAAATAATCAAATAAACAGTGCCAGAACAACCCTCCACCATTTCATGCAACAGGATTATTCAGCCGTTTGTTTATTAAACAATATAAGGATTGCAGGCATTTCTGCCACAGGATCCAGTCCAAGTTTCACTAACTTTGATAGCCCTGGATCAAGTCCATGGTAAATATCCAGTGTAAATTCAATCCTATAAACAAATGTCCACATAGATGCAGCTGTACAAACATTTAAACAGATACTTTACTATTATTATTTTGATAGCATATTACATATGCATACGAATCTTTCCAGCCCACCAATTCCCAGCTGCTGAGGTAGGCATGACTTAGAAGAAAGAGCATTAGCTCCAAAGTGCATCAGAGACCACGTCAATCAATTCCTACAGTCTGGCCTGGCTGGGCTTCTCACCAGCACCACTGGAGCGGGTGGCAGAGTCAAGGAGGCAGCAGCAGGAGAGGGAAAAGCTGAGATAAGAGGAATGAGGTGACAGTGGGAGTGGCAAGACCCACATACAAAAAAGTCAGGAACTCCATCATGGCCCACCACTTTAGCAAGGAGACACGGCCTTCTGAACCCTCCGCTGGCAGGCAGCTTCTCCGCTGCATCGAACGCAAACTGCCTGCCTCCACTCGCAGGAGCCTTCCTGCAGTCTTCATGGGACCCACCATCTCCTCTGCCACTGCAGTGAGGTTCACATCTCCCAAGAGTTATCAGCCAGTTACAGCCGTTATCAGATTTTAAAACTGGTACATCAGCGCTTTTTCAAACTGCTCCTTCAATGAGGATTGCAGCTCCAAGATAATCCTTGAGAGACATTCATTTTTCTCTTTCAGATTATTCCTTAAAACTATTTTTGCCATTATGCCTACGCAAAATGTGCATGCACACATACAAGTCTTCACAATAGTTTGGCAGTGCACCCAATATTGGCATGTGACAATATTGTTTCCCAGTACCCTGTCAGCCTTGTGGTTTGGGGTTTTTGGTTTGTCTTTGACTGCCAGTTCTCTGCTGCAGGGTTCATCTTTTGTGGCAGGTATTGTGGAAACCTGAAACAATTGATTCTGGTTCACACCCAAGACTCTGAGGTAATATTATAATAAAAATTAATGAGAAAGGGATGCAGTTCTGGCTATGGATTGATTCTGTGGTCTTTGTTCCACATAGCAGTACCCCTAAAAACAAAACAAAACAAACAAAAAACAACCAAACTGTAAATAATACTCTTTGTTTCAGAGTTATCCTGCTCATTCCTATCTATTACTGTTCTTGTTACAGGGTTCAATGGTAATTTTGGGGGTAAGACCCATCAGTCCACCTCTGCCTTCAGCTTTAAAGATGGTATACTTTTGGAAAAGCAAAAGGCATTTAGTCCTTTCCTGAGACTTTGTTTAGAGCTAGACAATTTAGCCTTAGAGCAACTTCACCTTTATTGTTTCTACATGCTTTGATTACATATCATACCTAGGGAGTAGTCATGTCACATTTGGAAACCATTCTTTAAAGGTAAGAGGGTCCTGAACATCAGGTCTGACAAAAAGAAGGTAACCTGAATCCATTGCATTCTGTCCTTCCTCTAGGGTGACAGGAGAAGTTACAGAGCCTGTGAAACTTTTCAGAACAGTACATACCCCTTGTTATCAAATTCCAACAAATCTCACATGCCCCGAGTCTTCAACAAAAAACCTACAAAAACACCAAACACCAAAACTAGTGACTAGGGAAGTCACTAGCTTCAAACAAAGGGAAGATGTGTTCATGCACCAGCATACAGCCATGCCAGCTCTGAATTGTATGCAGGACAGAACTAAATATTACTGAAGTAAAACACCTCCTTTACAATCTTTTGCCTTTGGGACTACCTTTCATGCAGTTCTATGTATTTAGCTCGGGGATGAAAGACAGTGGCTGCTGTCTTGTTTCCCTCAGGAGCTAGTTACTTCTCTGTCTTCATGTATCATACAGGAAGGTAAGAGCACAGTAACTTCCTCACAGGCATAAAGGCAAAAAAACACCAAATTAAGGCCTTATACACTTACCTTACAAGGCAATCACTAAAAATCAATGCCCCCCCTCTCAAAAAAAGAAAAAAAAAATTTGTAAACTCATAACAGTCTTATTAAATTAATTCATACAGTAAGGGAATAGTCTCACCATAAGGAAAGCAATGCTTCATATTTCAATAGTTTCAACACGAAGTCATTTGGCAAGAGGCAAAAATCAAGTGATTTTCCAGCTACTTAAACACAAAGCACAGCTTCAAGCTAATTAATGCTGTACCAGACTAGCCAAACTCTAATAAATTTGTACAGTAAAGAGTGGAAGGGGCTTACATAAAAACTGTCACTGAGCTAGTAATATATGAACCTGTACTCTACAGTGAAGCTCTACAAGGGAAACAGAACAAAGTAACGCACCTTGTAGTTGTATACAAATAGACAGAAGCCCCCTTTCAGGTGGAACAAGGATGTAGCTCTCTACTTGCATACACAGACTGACTTCTGTAAATCCCACAGTGTTTATGGCACAAGCAAATAAGACTGTCCAACTTAAACTATACACAGGAAGGGAGGATGTGTTCATTGAAAAGGTATGGAATAAAGTACCACAGAACTAAAAAAAAAAAAAAAAAATCCCAAAGCTCTTTAAAATAAACTTATGCTCTTGTACTGTCATTCATTTTGACTGACTGATTTATAACTGGTATAATTCTTCTCTAGGATGCCAAAATAAACCAATCTTATAGGTTGCTGAATTTATTTCTGTATTCAGTTTTTTATTTTCAAAAGCTGGTTCTGACTGGCAGCAAAAGACTGTGCAAATCAACATTAACATCAATGATACTTCCTTCTTGATGAGCATACCAATCAAATAAGTACAATTATTTATACTACTACTGAGAATAAAATGCACAACACTGCTTTTAAACAGATGTTGATTAATATTGGTCTTTCCTCCCAGAAATTGATTTTCTCCACCAATTAAATACTGGCCTGACAAATACAGTTCTAACTCTGCCCTGGAATTCATAACATTGATCTTAACACCAGTTTCTTTTCCATTTCACTAAACCTATGGTCCTAACCCCAAAAACCATACATGGACAATCCCACCGCTTCCATTTTCTTTCTAAGCATCTTCACGTGGTCTTCTACTCTCCTTTCTATGCAAGGAGGATTATCAAGAATATCCTCTCTCAAAACTTCTCCTTAAAAGCTTTCCTCTGCTATGACACCTAAAGGTGACAACTCAGAGGTGGCTGCACACCTGCTATGCAAAGATGTGCTCCTTTAAGCAACCTTATTCAGCATGAACTACCCTTTTCTTCTTCTCTCCCCACATTAGTCTTCTTCTGATCCTCTCATTACATCCTGACACCACAAGTTCTCTCACCCAGAAACAAAAATCAAAGAAATTACGATCTCTGTTACAACTCTAAATTGGCTGTCCAGTGACTGCAGATCAATGCTTTACAGGCTTGCCCATGGCACATTGGGGCCAGGGGCAGGATGGCAGCAACAGTGAAAAAAATTTTCCACCTTTACTTTCTTTGAACACAGTTAAGCACCTGCATTTAAACTTTACAGATACAAAACAACCTCAGTTATGGCCATGTGCTAGTTAATGCTTTCCGACCTTATACATTCTGGTGTTTTATACTAGGAGCTATTGCCTACACACAAAAAAAAAAAAAAGAAAAGAAAGCCAGAAGCACTTTATGTTGGAAAAGCTACTTCAGTGATTTGTAATACTTCTAAAAGGTATTATTATTAATATCCTAGGCCTAATTTTCAAATTGATTAATGCTGACAGCTTCTTTTGCCAACAAAACTATCACTGAAGGAGTGATAAATTCAGTGTTGATGGGCAAATTAGCAACTGGCATCTCCGATGTTTGACAGTGACCAGGACTGGTCAGTTCTGACCAAATCACTGGTAATGCTTTATACTGCAGGTACATCAGCCTTATTTAAAAACAACATAAGGATGCCAAAGGACTGGGGAAGAGGAAAAGGGAAATGCTACAGGGGAGAAAAGTTTACTGCCTACCCCAGCTGAACCATGGCTACAACATTACTCTTTTAACAGGTTGCCTACATTTATGCCACTCCATGAAAGCAGAGTATTTTACTTAAGGCATATTTATTTGTAGGGAAGAGTTTGAGCTCTTCACTAGGTACAGACAGACTTTAAAAAAAAAAAATCCATCAGAACTGTATTTCACGTAGGTTTCATCAGCACCACAGACCTTGTCAAGTTTAACTGACTAAACTCTCATTAGCATTTTTAAATATGCAAGTTCAAAAGAAGCAGCAGATGCAATCTTCAAGATCTAGGACTATCAGCACTAGGTTAACAGAAAGGGAAAGGTTAGACACTTTCAACAGGAGGGAAATAAGTAGCAAGGCAACAATATTTCATGGCACAATTTAAGATATTCATAATTCTAGTTATACCATTGAAGATCCTTTCTTTATCAATTAAAAAAACAATACCATTACCTATTTGCAGAAAACAGATTAGACAAACAAACACTAACTCAAACATAACTTTACACCTCCAAATCTTACTGCTGACCTTCTACTAGTTGGTCCAAGGAGGAAATCTTCTTGGAGCCATCAATTGTGTAGATTGTTCTCACTCCCTGGGGCAGATTCACATTGTCAGACAGAGTTCGGGTCAGATCAGCCAGGAGAGCTTCAAAGGATCTAAACCGGTCAGGGGAGATGGCATACACAATCCCTTTGAAATACCGGTCTCCATTACGATAGAAACGAACTTTCTTGGCTTTTTTCTCAGAGCTCAGGGTCTGTAGAGTACGGGTTCGGTAAAAGCTGCAGTGGGCACTGTGAGTAGGGCTGGGCAAACCATTTACCCGGGACCCTCTGCCATATCGTTGCGCTTTATCACGCTCATCAAAATGCTCCAGCTCCATATCTCTCCCAAAGGACATCTTGAAGTTCAACCTAAGGGATGCACAAAAGAAGATAAAAAGTTTAAGAAACTCACACATTTTAAGGAGCTCACTTTGAGACTTCACATTCTATACATGGCACTTACAGAGGACTACTTTCCGGGGTGAGAAAAATGGTTGGTTTGAATGAAACCATGCTATGTTTACATGTTCATTTTACAGCTAACTCTCTTACCGTTCCATAAAACCTAATTTATCAGTTAGGCTTTTAGACACTGTAGAAATGCCACTCATGAAACCAACTGCTAGCAATAGGCAAACATTAAAGTGTTTGTTCAAATCCAGTAAAAACTCTGAAAACGAGGTGACAAAGCTGAGCTACTGGAAAAAAAGAACAAATGCATCAACTTTCTACTTTCTCTCATGTTATATTCAGGTGCTATTTGAGTCCAGTCTACCTTCTAGACCATTCACTCCCACTAAACTGGGGAGTTTAGTTTTTCCAACTGTGATCTCAAGAGGCACCATTTTGGAAGGGCAACCTGCAGCCAACAAGTAAGCAATTAAGAACTTCTCAGAGGAATAGATGTCACAGGTTGGCAGTGAGAATCAGGACTACCACTTAGTGGGTCAAGCCCACTGTTCAAAAGTCTTTGGGTATTCCAATCATTGGTTTCCTTGCAGCCTAAGCTTTGTAATAAATTACTTCAGTTGTCCTTGTGCAAATACTTTGCATACTCTGAACCAACAGAAGTGCTCAAACATCATCAAATTTAAAAAAAGATTAGAGGGAGACAGGAAACTAGTATTTTTCAATGAGCAAGCTACTTTAGTGCTCTGTAACATTTGCAAGGTGTATTATTAATATCCTAGGCCTAATATTCAAATTTATTAAGGCTGACAGATTCTTTCACCTACAAACCTACCACTGAAGGAGTGATAAATTCAGTGTCGATGGGCAAATTAGCAATTGGTGTCTCCCATGTTTGACAGCGACAAAAACCCCGCTGGTCTAACCAAAATGATCCCAGTTGTTCAATACAGTTCACATAAATGGAAGTTCACATGTTCTGAAATGAAATCAAGGAGGTAGATACTTCCATTCTTTTTTACAACCAAGACAAGACTAAATACTACAAATTGTACATTAATCTTCACAAATAAAATAAACAAATATATGAAAAAAAAATTAGAATTATCAAAGGATCATGTGTTCCAAACATATTTATTTTAATTTAGGAGCCTCCTAGATTTGCAGTTGTCTGCAGAACAGCAAAGCACAGTAAGTTTATTTATAGCACAGATATACAGACCTAATTTAGAAGTGGTCTCTCTCATTGATTTCCAATAAAAACAAAAAAAAAATAGCAAGCACAAGCTTTGTTTCAACCACTCATAATTGTGTGACCATTAAGAAAAAAAATGTATTCAGATCAGCTGTAAAACAGTAGGAGGAAATACAGAAAGACTTATGGATGCTCTTTAGCTTACAGAAGTTTGTATTAAACCAATGATTATACAGCTGGACCCTGATGCTGCAAAGCTGTAGGGGATCTGCTCAGAAACTTCTCAGAGCGGTTCATGTGCTTGACTGGAACAAGCACCTAAGGCTAACCACTGCAAGTGTGGGGCCTTGGTGGAAATTATTTACCCTGCTTTGGTTACAGCTCACAGCTTATTTTGTTACATTGGCACAGGATCATGTGCTTATGTATATATGCAAGATTTAGATTTGTAAATACTTTAAAGGTACGTAACATATATATATGGTGCAGTGTGTGTGTGTGTGTGTGTATTATGTATATATGCAAGATTTAGATTTGTAAATACTTTAAAGGTACATAACATATCTATGGTGCAGTATATGTGTGTGTGTATATATATATATACACACACACACAAAAAGAAAAAGACTAATCTACATTTTTCCTTCTCAGTATACATCCACACATACACCCCACTTCAGTGAAAAGAATAAGAACATTTGCTGTGGCATTTCACTAACACTTCTCTATAGGTTAAATACAGAATACCACTTAGTGGCCACATCTTAGGATCAAGATTACACCACCGCCGTTTCCATGTTAAAAAAAATTATGTCAGTTGTTTTACTTAATTTCTAATTCCAATGGGAATGTGTTATTCAGATTTAAACAATCCCAGAACTCACAATTCAGCAACTGTATCTCAAAAGCAACGCTTGTGCCAAGAAAAATGGCTTTTTCTTAGGTCTGCTGTTTCATTTGCTCAAACCATCTCAAACACACACATACAAAAAAAAGGAAAAATCAAGTTTACATGAAGATATACTTTTCTAAGAGACTTTCAGCTTCACTAATTTTGGATGGGGGGAGGAAGAAGTGCGAGTCACTGCCCTTTCTTCCGCACACTTGTGCTTTAATCAATAAGGGCTGTAATTCCCACTTACGCCCTTTAAAACAGAAACAGAGCTCCCCTTGAACACCACAGTCCTGCTATTTACAGAAAAGCGTGTTCAAACCACAAGGTCAGAGCAGACAAAGAAATATCCTAAACAATTTGATCTGATCAGATGTTTCCGTGTGCGTGCATATACACAGTCATATACATACAGATACATAAAAATGAAAGGACACACCCCTGGAAAACCACCATGCCCAACACTTCACACCCTATAAATCTGTTAAAGAATTATTTATAAGGCCGGTGTGGGTGAGCAATTATACAAAACAATCACACGCGCTGACAAAAAACACGCAGCGGGGTGACCGGGACCCGGCGAAGATCACTCCAAGAGCAGGCAGCGCACCGACTACTAAGTCATGGGGGGGGAACGTGGGTACATGCGGCAGCGGCGCCAAGAAGAAAAAAAA